TTTACATTTCCATGAGGACATCAAACAAACTTGAAAAGTTTGAGTGCAAGAAAAATTGAAAACGCTCCAACTTGATTATAATCCAAGTTTATCTGTATATACACTTTCGAATTTCAATGAAAACACACACATCAGAAACATTTAAGTGAATCTGAATAATGAATTTTATTTCTCCTTTCGATTGGGACATTTTGCAATTTCAGTTGGATTTTCGGAGTTATTAATAATTAATAATTAATAATTAAATCTAATTTTCAATTTTTGTCATAGCCATTTAAATTATGGAGACTATTTCTTCCGGTTGATGATAAACTGGCAAATGACATCACTTAATTTACTAATAGCGTGGCTTCGACTCGGTCATCACTATAAGTTTCTGTTTTTAAACGCAGACACGCAAAGTTTCTCATTTTTTTTTTTAATTCCACGTGTACACTGAGAACAAGTGTAAACTAGGTGACCTGGGGATTTGTATATAGCTTATTTAAATAAACTTGCTTCTGCATTTAACAAAATCGATTCCTCAAAAGCTATTCTATATTATGATTTTAGATAATTCTCCAAGATTTATTCGATCTGTACATCCGATTAGGAGTTTTTTCCATTTATTATTTTCTTTGTTTTCTGTATAAATTTTCAATATTGCATTGAAAATAATTGAAAGTTGAATAAAATTTATTAAAATTATTTCGATATTTATGAATTTTAATAAAATTTCTCGAAAAAATTATATTTTCAATAATTTTAATAAAATTTTTCGAAAGAATTTAATTATTTCTAAAAATTGTAATGAAATTCATTACAAAAGTTCAAATATCTTCATAAATAATAAAATTCTTCGCAAGAATTCAATTATTTTCATAAATAATAAAATTCTTCGCAAAAATTCAATTATTTCGATGAATAATAAAATTCTTCGCAAGAATTCAATTATTTTCAATATTGCATTGAAAATAATTGAAAGTTGAATAAAATTTATTAAAATGAATTCGATATTTATGAATTTTAATAAAATTTCTCGAAAAAATTATTATTATTATATTAAATTATTATTATATTATTTTCAATAATTTTAATAAAATTTTTCAAAATAATTCAATTATTTCTAAAAATTGTAATGAAATTTCTTGAAATAATGAAATTATTTTCGAAAGTTTTGATAAAATTTTTTTATAAAAATTCAATTACTTTTAAAAAAATTGAATAAAATTTCTCCAAAGAATTTAATTATTTAAAGAAATGTTAATAAAATTTTTCCAATGAATTAAATTATTACAAAAAAATAGTTGTACTAAAATTCTAGTAAGAATTCAATGATTTAAAAAAAAATTTTAATACATAATTCAATAATAAAATTTTTAATTACAATTATTAAGAACACGATTATTTTTAAAAATTAAAAGAAATTTTTCGTAAAATTCTATTTTCTTTCAAATTTTTCAATTAAAATTAATAATGAAACTCTATCATTTAAAAAAAAAAATTCAAAATAATTTAATTAGAATTTTCAAAAATTTTAATAAAATTCTGGCTAAAAATTCAATTATTTTTATAAATAATAAAATTCTTCGAAGGAATTCAATTCTTTTTAAATTTAATGATAAAATTTTTTCCAGAATTCAATGATTTTCAAAAATTTTAATAAAATTCTTGCTAAAAATTCAATTATTTTTATAAATAATAAAATTCTTCGAAGGAATTCAATTCTTTTTAAATTTAATGATAAAATTTTTTGCAAGAATTCAATGATTTTCAATATATTAATTTTAAAATTGAAAACATTTAAAAAGGAAAATTATTTAAAAACGTTATAGAAAACAAAAAAAGCAAACAACAACAATAATAAATATTTATTTTCTTTATTTTCTTTATTAATAGCTTTCTGTATTAATTATTTTTTTGATTTTGTTTGATTTTTTAAATTTATTTAGTCTTTTTGCAATTCATTCTAATTTTATTGTCAGCAAAAAATTGCTTTGAAAAAAAAACATTTTTCGTTTCTAATAGTTTTACTGATTGTTGTAGATAATGAATTGGTGTTGAGAAGTTTTCATCTTGTTGAATGTAATAATCCAAGGAATGACATCGACGACGACGACTTCTCATTGTCGATAACAGGGATATAATGAGGAGATATTACTCGGAAAAGTTAGAGTCGAAGATTTCTGATATTAATCTCCGCTAAGGGATCGTCTACACACTTTGCGAAAATAATGATAATAATAATAATCGATCTGGCTTGCGAAAAATTATTTTTTTAATTGGAATTTATTGCAATTTTGGAATCTAGAACAGTATTGCGCTAAAGTTCTTGAAAATGAATTTTAATTGAAATATATTACAAGCTGGGTTTGATCTACAAAAGTGTACTTGAAAATTTTTGTGACAGAGATTGAAATTTTATTTAGACAAAAAAAAAAAAAAAAAAAAGAGGAGTGCGCATCGTAAAATTGATCCACGTTGATTGAAGTTTATGGAGACATGAATAGAGGACTTGACCTCAAAGCTTTTCAAACCAATAGAATCACTTTTCATTTTACTCTGAAAATCAGATGCAAAAGCTATTTTTCCGTATAGCAATGAAATGTTCTTTTTAACTGGATTTATTGAATTCCAATTCTAGAACAAGACACATGGATTTATTTTCGATTTACGGTACAAGTGTGTGTGTGTGTGTGGATCTTTTTTGCAAAATCCAAGGTTCATTTTGATTGACAATCTTCTTTCTTGCGAGAGAATTTTTCTGAATGTTCTTTTGATTTCCTACTGATTTTGTTTTTTGATTTGAGATTTTTCTGATAGAAACGCAATTTTTTATAGTGGAAGTATTTTTTCGAGGTTCATTTTGATCTTCTTGCGAAAAATTCTTCTGAATTTTCTTTTGATTTCCTTCTGATTTTTAGTTTAATTTTTTTTTTTAGTGGATTTCGATTTTTCACTGCGTTGGACAATTTGAAACATTCTTTAAATTGATAGGCACTTTTTTTTATTCTCCTGCTGAAGTTTTTTCGATGAATTAGACTCTGCATGGATTTAACCTTCGATTAGAGCAACTGAGTCGATATTTCTGACCTTCGGAAATGATCGGCAAAGAACTACCAATATCTATTCTATTCAATTGATGGCTAACGTTTTATTTCTTCTTCTTTTTTACGTTCAAAGTCAGAAGGCAAGGACGGCACTTCTCTTTTTTTATTACTCCACTCTCTCTCTCTCTCTCTTATTCATTCACTGAAAATCTGGAATTCAACGTCAAGAAATTTAATTTACTTTACAAATTAAATCATCTTTCGAGTATATCTCGATTCTTATCATTTAATGAAAACGAATTCGAGTAATGGGACAAAGAGAATTTTTACTGAATATTTGCAAAAAACTCCACTCGAAATATTTTTCATTTTTTCGAATTTTTTCTAATTTGCAAAATTAAGGAGTGGAAATAATTCTACTTTTGTGATTTTAGCAAAAACGAATTGCAATTCGTTTACGATTTTGTCCAATATTTTTTCTAATTAACAAAATTAGTAAAATAATTCGATTATTTCTTAAGAAATATATAATTGAATATTTTATTTTGTTTATTTTGAGTCTTTCGAAAGTATAGTAAACATATTTCTAATTTTATAAACTTGTCCTAGAAATAATTTCAATAAAAAATAAAATAATTTCAATTTTTACTATTTACTCTATTCACTTCTAGTCATAATTCGACGATTTTTTTTGGAAATTTTGACATGTTTTTGCTTCAGTCACGTAGCAATTCAGACTTTATTTTCATACGTTCATTATTAGGTGGATCAAATTCGTTCTAGAAAATAATTCTCGGTTTGAAATTTACATTTTAAATTTTGCAATCTTTGCTAATTTTAATGAAACGCAATTTTGTTTCTTTTATTTTTCTTTTGCAAAAAAAAAAAAAAAGAAAGAAAATATTTTTAATGGTCCACTATTTAATCAGAGTTGTTTTATCAAGGGAATATTTTTTTTTTCCTTTTCATGTTATTTAGCCAATTAGAACCGAGTATAAAATGCACAAAGTTCACGCGATGAATGTCGCCACAAGGATGATGTCACGTTGTACAATATTATGAATTTATTTTCGACTCGGTTTTTCTAAAGACTTGAAAGGTTGCATTTAACAAAAGGTCTGGGTCTCGAACTTCTATTTCCAAATCAATGGCATTATTTCCTCTTCTAAATTTGCGACAGATTCTGATTTTACACGAGGATTGATTATAGATCTCATTCTTATTATACATTCAATTCTTTAGATTTGATTTTCCTAAAAAGAAAATTGATACAATTTTTACAATAGTTTCTATTTAGAAATTTATTTAGAAAATTTATAAACTTGCTGAAAAATGAATTGAGAAATTTGTTCAGAAATTTATTGAGAAATTTGTTGAGGGAAATATTATTTTAAAGCGATATTAATATATATGGATAGAGTGGAAAAATATTTACTTGTATTTAAATGACAGGGTAACGTCAGCTTTTTGTCCTTCGGTTGGATAAATGCTACAAATATGGAAAGTGCATTGTTAGATAATTAATTAATTTTACAAAGGCTCAGCGAGTTGTCTTTGATGATTCAAGGAATCATTTGAGAAAATTTCCAAGGAAATAAAATACCGCTTCTGATCATTTGCGTTCGTGACGACACTCTTGGGACTTCTTTTACGCAATAGAAAATTGTTCCCTCGTCCGTGAAGGAAAAATATATGAAAATTTCTATTTTCTAAACAAAAAGACCAATTTAATAAAATCGAGATTATTAAGTTACTGTTAATTAAAAATTAATAAATAATTAAATATTTAATTGAACATTTGAGTTTAGAATTAAATTTGAATAAAAAATAATTCATTCGATTTTTTGTTCAATATCAGCGTGCAGTTAAATTGCTTATTTGGAATTTAATTTTTATTTTATTTCCCATTTTTGCAGCGATGGCAGTTAAATTGCTTATCTGATTTTCTTTTGTATATTTTCTATGTTACAGCGATGGCGATAGGTATTTGAAGGTGCCATGGAAAGACGTCAAGGTCGGTGACCTGGTTCACTTGTCGAATAACGAATTGGTTCCGGCTGATCTCTTACTGCTGAGAAGCAGTGATCCTCAGGGATTCGCTTATCTTGACACCTGCAATTTAGATGGTGAAACCAATTTAAAACAACGGCAAGTGGTGAGGGGATTCCTTGATCTTCAGGACTCTTTTCAACCCTCCAAATTTCATTCTGTTATCGAAGTCGATAAACCGAGTACGAAAATTTATAGGTGGGTTTTCTTTACCTAAAATTATCAATTTTTTCTTGAAATACATATTTTAATTGTACCAGAATTTTAATTTAAATCAAAATTTTTATGTTATCAGAATTAAATTCTGATATTAATTAAATTCTGATTGATTAAATAATTCAATTATTTAAATAAAAAATTTAACGTAACCAGAATTTTAATTTTACCAAAGTTAATTCTTCGAAGTGTAAATCGTAAATCTGCAAAAAGAGCTCGCAAATCAAATTATAGAAAGATAATTAAAATTTAAGAAAGTGAACTAAATAATATTGTGTGACAAATTGAATAATAAATTCTAAAAGTTGAAATAACGATTCAAAAAGAAAATAAGGATTGAACGGATTGAGAGAAGAATTTAAAAAAAGAGTAAAATTAATCTTCCTGAAAGACAGAGATTTATTTTTGTCAATAGAATTAATAGTGCGAATCTTGGTAATTGGGATTTTCTCTTTCTTTTTTTTTTTTGTTATATAGATTTCATGGAGCAGTAGTTCATCCTAAAGGAGCCAGAGTGCCTGTTTCGACGGAAAATCTTTTACTCAGGGAGTGTGTTTTAAAAAATACAGATTTCGTCGAGGGAATTGTAGTTTATGCTGGTCACGAGACTAAAGCGATGCTCAACAATGGGGGGCCTAGGTATAAGGTATTGATCTTTCCCCTTTTTTTCTCTTAAGCTTTATTTTTTACAACTCATCAGAGATGACACAGTTTCACACATAAATATCTTGCATTTAAACGAGAAGCGGCTTATAAATATTCAAAATCTAAAAATGGAAAGTAAATAAATCTAACAATTACTGTTGGATGCTAAAATTTACACATTTATCTTTTTTTTCTGTATTAATTCGATATTGAATATTTATAATCACGAAGCAAAAGTTTTTCGCAATTCAATAATTTTTAATATTTACTATTTTCATAAAATTTATCAAATGATTTAATTATTGAAAAAAATTTTTGGTACAATTCTACGAAAACATTTAATTATTTAAATAAATATTAAAATTTCATTTGAAAATTCAATTAATTTCATCGCAGAATTTCCAATATTTGGAATACAATTTTAAATAAATTCCTCGAAAAATTCAATTAATATTAAAAAGTTTATTAAAACTTAAACAAAGAATTAAATTTTAAGAAACATTCAATTATTAAATAAAATAATAAAATTCGTTGCAATAATTCAAATGATTTCATAAATAACTTTTCATTCGTCGCAAAAAATCAATTCTTTTCCAACATTCAATTATTTTGATGAATATCAAAATTCATTACAAGAATTGAATTCTTTTGAAAAAAGATAAAATACTTTGCACAAATTAAATTATTTTAAAAACTTTTTAAAAATTCTCATCAAGAATTAAATTATCTTTATAAATACATAGATAGCGAAATTCTTCTCAAGAATTAATCATTGTCAAAAATTGTAATAAAATTCTTGGCAAAATTTCAATTATTTAAACAAAATTTACTAAAATTCTTCGTATTAATTCAATTATTTACATAAATTATTATTTAAATTCTTCTCAAGAATTCAATTATTTTTAAAAAGTTTTAATAAAATTCTTCAAAAAGTTTTCAATTATTTCCAAAAATTGTTATAAAATTCTTTAATATAATAAATTTCAGTAAAATTTTAATTTAATTTCTTAAAAGAAATTGAATATTTTCAAAAGTTGTTAATAAAATTCTTCGTAAAAATTAAATTTTAAGAAACATTCAATTATTAAATAAATTATTTATTTTTGTATTTAAATAATTGAATTTTCGTAGAACTTTCTAATAAGAATGTATTAAAAATTGAATTTCGGTTAACATTTTAGAAAATAATTGAATATTAAAAGCATTATAGCATGCATTTTCAGAAATAATTGAAGTTTGAAAAGGTTTTAAATTATTATCTTTGGAAATCTGAATTTTTCGTATTTTTAACTAACAATTCTGAAGAATTAATTTTTTTTAAAAAGTTTAATTAATTTGACATTTTTGAACATCTTAATTTCAATGAAAAAATAATAATGATTAGATATTTATTTAAAGAAGAAATTATTGATGTTTTCGAATAATTTTACAATTACAGTAATTATTAAATAAATGTATTGGAGAATTTTTTTGAGTATTTAATCATTTGTTGGAGTGAATCAGAATATTTCATTAGACTCAGGGAAAAAGTGAAAATTTTGCCTGGAAATCAGGAAAAGGTCAGGGAAGAACAAAGTTAAATTTTTGTGGCAACCCTGTTTTTATACTTTCATTTTTTGTAATTTATTTTTTGTTCTTTAATTTCTTTTTAGTCAATATTGAAGATTAATGTAAATTTTGTTCTTCTTTTTCAGCGTTCTCGTTTGGAGCGACAAATGAATATAGATATAATTTGGTGCGTGGTGATTTTGGTTGTTTTGTGTGTCGTCGGTGCTGTTGGTTGTAGACTTTGGCTCACGGCGTACACGAACGTTGGACCCGTTCCGTTTTTGCCAGTTCTTCAAGATCCTACTTATGAGGGAATGCTCACGTTTTGGACGTTTATCATCATTCTTCAAGTGATGATACCCTTGAGTCTCTATGTTACTTTAGAAATGGCTAAAGTCGGTCAAGTTTATCACATCGGTCAAGATCCTTTTCTTTATGATTCTGAATCTGGTCGTAAAGCCGAGTGTCGAGCTTTAAACATCACCGAAGATCTCGGACAGGTAGAAAATTTATTCTGTTAAAATAAAAAATTCGAAAATAAGAAAAAGAAAAATATTCTAAATTAAAAGAAAATTTAATCGGATTTCCAAAATTTAGAAATTAGAGTAATAAACACAACAAATTAGAGAATAAAAATTAGAGTAATAAATACGACAAATTAGAGAATAAGAATTAGAGTAACAAATACAATAAATTAGAGAATAAAAATTAGAGTAATAAATATAACAAATTTGGGAATAAAAATTAGAGCAATAAATACAACAAATTAAAAAATAAAAAGTAGAATAAAAATAGCAATTGTAAAAATAAATGGACGGTTTATAAAATAATGATTTATTGATAGGTTCAGTATGTATTTTCCGACAAAACTGGAACACTGACGGAAAATAAGATGCTGTTCAGAAGATGTGCGGTAGGCGGACAGGATTACGCTCACACTGGCGAGGGAGAGAATCCGATGCCGTGCACGAGATTAAAGGAAGATTTACTGATAGGAAATTGTAAGCATCGCCTCCAGGAATTCCTGGTTTTGATGGCGGTTTGTAACACGGTCGTTGTAAATAGTCATCCTCATCGAGACATCATGAACTCGAGCGGCGTTATCGAAGAACCTCAAAAGAACGGTGGTAGTGCGAGGTAAATTTGAAATTTTCATTATTTATTTAAAAACTATTTTCTAAATAATCACTATCGTAAATAACAAACTATAACTATTCTAAAGAATCACTATTGTAAATAATAACTATTCTAATCTACAGCGATAATCTTTATACTCCGAATGTCTGTTCGCAATTTGGATTTAATTGTTTTCCTTTGCTTTGTCATTTCCTATTTTCTTTTTTTAAAAATGTTTTTGTAAAATTCTTGTATTTATTAATTTTAAGTTCAATTATATATTAGTTAAAAATTTATTATTTTGTTTTTAATTTGAAACAATTTTGTTTAATTAATTTTTACTAATACAATTTAAAATAGTCTTCTTTATGAAAGTAGAATTTTCTTAATTTTAAAATTTAAAACATTGTAAGAAAAATTTTGAATTTATTCTTTTTTTCCATAATTTTGCGTTAACGAGAAAATTTTTTATAATTTTAAAAGATGAGACTTTTGTTACAAAAAAAGTTATAATTTTTGTAAATTTTATAATATGTACATAATCTGAAATAATTTAATTTTTGAGCAAAGTTATACTAAAATTGAGTACCTGCATGCAACAACTCGCCGAGCGCTCGGACGCACTCTCTAATACCAGTCGGGTGGCAGTGAGTGGCGCAGAGGCGCTCACTGCTCCCCGACTGTTACTAGCACTTGCGTCCGAGCGCTCGGCGAGTTGTTGCATGCAGGTACTCAATTTTTGAAAATAATTCAATTTCTTTAAAGAATTTTATTCAAATTTTTTTAAATAATTGTATTCCTGCGAAGAATTTTATTAATTCATGAAAATAATTAGATTGCTATAAAAAATTTCCATAAAATTTTTGAAAATAATTGAATTCTTTCGAAGAATTTGATTATTTAAAAAGTATTTGAATTCTAGAGAAGAATGTAATTAAAATTTGTTAAAAATAGTTCAATAAATTCGAAGAACTTTATTATTTATAAAAACAATTGAATTCCTGCAAAAAATTTTATTCTTTATAAACAGTAATTTAATTATTACAAAGAATTGTATTAAAATTGTATTTAAAATAATTGAAATCCTACTAAGAATTTTATTATTTCTAAACAATTATTTAATTCTTATAAATAATTTTATTATTTATATAAAAAATTAATTTAATTCTTGCAAAGAATTTTATTATTTATAAAAAGTAATTTAATTCTTACGAAGAATTTTATTAAAATTGTATTGAAAATAATTGAATTCCTACAAAGAATTTTATTAAAATTGTATTTAAAATAATTGGATTTCTGTGAAGAATTTTATTAAAATTTTTAAATAATAGTTAAATTCTTTATAAGATTTTTATTATTTATGAAAATAATGGAATACCTTCAAGAAATTTAATAAAAATGTATTGAAAATAAATTAATTAACTTTAAAAATTTAATCAAAATGTTTGAAAATAATTGAATTATTTCGAAGAATTTCATTATAATTTTTAAAAATAATTGAACTTAGTCTTAAAATTGTATTAAAAATAATTGAATTCCGGCGAGCTATATCAACTGCGAATTATATCAACATTTTTGAAAATAATTTAATTCTTTTGAAAAATTTAATTATAATTTTTAAAAATAATTGAATCTTGTCGAAAAATTTTATTAAAATTGAAATGAATATTATAATTGAATTCCTGTGAGGAATTTCATTATTTATAAAAATAATTGAATTCTTGCTAAGATTGCTATTCAAATCTTTGGAAATGATTGAATTTCTGCGAAGAATTGTATTATTTTGAAAGATAATTGAATTCCTTCGTGTAATTTTATTAAAATTTTTAAAAATAAGCTGCTTAGAAAAATTTAATTATTTATGAGAATAATTAAACTCCCCAGACGAATTTAATTATTCATGAAAATAATTGAATTCTTTCGTGTAATTTTATTAAAATTTTTAAATATAAATAAACTGTTTAGTAGAATTTTATTATTTATGAGAATAAATAAACTCCTTAGAAGAATTAATTATTTATGAAAACAATTGAATTCTTTTAAAGAATTTTATTACAATTTTTAAAAATAATTGAATTTTGTAATTCGCATAATAATAAATTGTAACCGCGATTTGCGCGCTGGTGAGAGTAAAATTTGCTAGTTTCTTAACAATCAGTATTATAAATAATTTGCAACTAATCATAAAGAATTATTTGACAATATTAATAAATAGAAACCTATAATTAAAATGAATTTATAAATTAAAAATTAGAATTAATAATTAGAATTAATAAAATGAGATAGTAAATAATTTGTTTATACAATATTCATCAGGTACATGAGACTTAACGAGTCAAGAAGTACAACTCCAGTTCCAATTCAACAGTCATCAGAGGAATCAAGTTCATCATTAACGACAAATTCACCCACGATTCTTTCGACACCGCCAAATCATGGAATTCCCCTTTCGACAATTTCGTCATCGACTGAAATGCCAACAAATAGTTCATCAACATTTCGTAGTCGCGTTCTCAGGCCGAGATTATTGAACATAAGATCAATTCCAAATTTAGGAATGGATCTTGTGAGAAAACTCTCGCCAATGGGCTTAAGATGTAATCAATCGAATGCTGACGATGGAACGAAAACAACAACGGAACCACCGCAAATCTATGAAGCTGAGAGTCCCGATGAATTAGCTTTAGTGCGTGCCGCTCGTGCCTATAATGTCAAACTTATCAAAAGAACTTCCCGTAGCGCCGTTGTTTCTCTACCTGATAATTCTACTCTTGCCTTTGAAGTTCTACACGTACGTTTTGAAACAAATTTTATAATTTAATTAATTTTTTAGAAATTGAAAAATAAAGTAAATGAAAACAGAATATAAAAAGCTTCCTCCATGAAGAAATAAGTATTTCTTTTAATAAATATTAGAAAATATAATATGAAATAATAGAAATGACAAAAAATAATAAAATTAAATTAACTTTTGGAAAATTTTGTTTACAGGTTTTGCCATTCGACTCGAGTAGAAAATGCATGTCGATTGTGGTTAGACATCCGATTAGTGGTGAGATTGTGCTTTATAGTAAGGGCGCAGATTCGACAGTATTGCCATCGTTGTCATCAACAGATGAGGATACGAGTTCGATGACAAAAATTCGTCAACAATTAAATTCGTACGCGAGACAAGGTCTTCGGACACTTGTCATGGCGCGAAGAACTCTCGGCGCTCAGGAATTCGAGACCTGGCGACAAAGACACTTGGAAGCTGAAGTTTCGACTGAAAATCGCGATCGTCGTATTCGCGATTCTTATTCATTGCTTGAGTCACATTTAACACTTCTCGGTGTCACTGGAATTGAGGACAAACTCCAGGCAGGAGTTCCTGAAACAATGGAGGCTCTTGTCTCCGCTGGAATTGTCGTTTGGGTTCTAACCGGTAAATTATTTTCCTTTTTTATTAAATTGATTTTGCATCAATTTATTATATAATTTTATCCAATTATTATATAATTTTTATCAAATTCTTGTATAATTTATATCAATTTATTATATAATTTTACTAAATTTTATTATATATAATTTATATAGATTTTATCTTAATTTATTTTACGTCTGGAATTAAATTAGAATTTGAAATAAATAAAAAATTAATTTGGAATTAAATTAGAATGAGAATTTTGAAATTAATTTTACCTGATTTTTCTTTTCTTTCAGGTGACAAGCCAGAGACGGCAGTGAATATCGCTTATTCGGCGTGTTTATTTACGCCGGCAATGCAATTGCTGAGACTTCAGGCGAGATCGAAATCCGTTGCTGAGAGTTTAATTCACAGTCATTTGGAGGCGATTCAACGGGAAAATGCCGCGAACGATGGAATACAGAGACAAATGACTGATTATCACGGTACTGGGGATGTGGCTTCTCACGAGCTCGATTCCGCTGATCGAGTAGCTTATAGAATTGGTAGCTCGTGGAAACGACAACGAGCTCTTGTCGTCGATGGAAAAACATTGACGTTCATTCTCGATCCACAAACCGGACTCACGACTCCATTTCTCAATTTGACGAGAGCTTGCTCCAGTGTTCTTGCATGTCGTGCCACTCCTTTGCAAAAAGTAAATTTCTTTTTTTGGTTTCCTTTCTTTTGTAAATTTAGTGAGAATTATTATTCTATTTTTTGTTATTTGTTTATTACTATCTAATTTTTTTTCTATCTAATTATTATTTAATAGGTGATATTCTATTTTTTTATTTTCACCAACTTCATTCTTTGAATAATTTCAGATTCAAAGTTTTTAAATATTCACTCATTAAGAAATTATTATTTATTATTTTTTTTTCTTAAGAATTAAATTTTTTTTAAAAAATAATAAAATTCTTCGCAAGAATTTAATTATTTACAAAGATTTTAATAACAATCGTATCAAGAATTCAATTATTTTTAAAAATATTAAAATTCTTCAGAGGAATTTAAATGTTATCATTTCAATTTTAATAAAATTTTACGATGAGATTCAATTATTTTTTAAAATTCTAATGAAATTCTTCCAAAGAATTCAATTATGTTAAAAAATTTTGATATAATTATGTACAAAAATTAATTTATTTTTAGTACAATTTAATTAAATTTCTTGAAAGAATTGAATTATTTTCATGAATTTTAATACTGTTCTTCGCAAAAATCCACTTATTTTCAAAAATTTTAATAAAATTCATTCCAAGAATAAAAATATCTTCATAAATAATTTAATTCTTCAAAGGAATTTAACTATTTTTTAAAAACTTTTATGAAATTCTTCAAAAGAATTCAATAATTTTCAAATTGTATTCTTCGCAGAAATTCAATTATTTTCAAATGCAATTATAATAAAATTCTGCGGAGGAATTCAATTATTTTCAATACATTTTTAATAAAATTCTTCTTACATTATTTTTTAAAAACAATAAAATTCGTAATAGGAATTAAATTATTTTTTATAAATAATAAAATTGTTAGTAGAATTTCAATTCTTTTTATAAATAATAAAATTTTTCGCAGTAATTCAATTATTTTTAAAAATTTTAATAACATTCATTCCAAGAATCTACATATCTTTATAAGTAATTGAATTTATAGAAAGAATTCAATTATTTTCATAAATAATAAAATTCTTCGAAGAAATTTAATATTTTAAAAAAAATTTTTAAAACTTCTTAAGAATTCAATTATTTAAAAATTTTTTATTAACATTCTTCACAGCAATTAAATTATTTTCATAAATAATAAAAATCTTCGCACGAATTCATTTATTTTAAAAAACATTAATAAAATTACAGAAAACAATTCAATTATTTACTGAAATTTTCATAAATTCTTTGAAATAATTCAATTATTTTCATAAATAATAAAAATTTTCGCAGGAATTCAATTATTTTGAAAAACATTAATAAAATTCAAGAAAACAATTATTTATTGAAATTTTCATAAATTCTTTGAAATAATTCAATTATTTTTATAAATAGTAAAATTCTTCGCAATGATTCAATTATTTCATAAATGATAAAATTCTTCGAAGGAATTTAACTTTTTAAAAAAATTTTTTAAAACTTTTTAAGAATTCAATTATTTTAAAAAATTTTATTAAAATTCTTTACAGCAATTCATAAATAATAAAATTCTTCGCAAGAATTCTATTATTTTTAAAAACATTAATAAAATTCTAGAAAACAATTCAATTCTTTTTGAAAAATAATTAAATTCTCTATATTAATTCAATTATTTTTGTAAATAATAATATTCATTGTATGAATTTAATTATTTTCAAAAATTTTGATAAAATTCTTAAAAATAATTCAATTACTTTCATTAATAATAAAAATCTTTGCAGGAATTTAATTATTTTCATTTCAATACAATTTTAATTAAATTCTTCTCAAGAATTCATTAATTTTTTTAATAATATAAATTTTTTCGCATGAATTCAATTATTTTCATCACAATTTTAATAAAATTTTTCGAAAGAATTCAATTATTAATTCTAAAGTTTTGATAAAAATTTTTATGAGAATTCAAGTATTCCTAAAAAAATTGAATGAAATTCTTATAAGAATTCAATTTTTTTTCTATATGAGGCATTCCATGTCAAGTGATCCGGGTGGAGAAAAATTTTTCTCCAATCGTAGCAAAACTTGGGGCTTTTGTAGTACTAATAGATAGTAATTTTTCGTGAAAATATTTTTTTACCTAGTCCAATATTTTCCGAGGGGGAGGGGGTTAAATTTTTGGGTTTTTCAGTACAATGCTTATTTCGATAATTTTTTACTCTTAAACTATTCAACATAAAAATTTGGCAAGGTACATTTTGGAAAGGTTTTTTCATGCTCTTTCGATTGAAAATAAGCATTTAAAAAAAAAAATTTTTTTTGACCCAAAAAAATCAAAATTAAAAATAAATTTTAATTTTTTGGAAAAAAGGTCCCATTTTTTTTTTTTTTTTTTTTTTTAAACGAAAGCTGAGGTTTTTTCCTAAAAGGACATATAAATGAAAAAGTGGGACAAGAATGTTTAAACATTGAAAAAATGAATTTTCTCGTAAACAGAGCTAAAAACCGGGTTTAAAGAGTAGAAACCTCTGTTTTTCAATGTTTAAACATTCTTGTCCCACTTTTTCATTTATATGTCCTTTTAGGAAAAAACCTCAGCTTTCGTTTAAAAAAAAAAAAAAAAAAAAAAATGGGACCTTTTTTCCAAAAAATTAAAATTTATTTTTAATTTTGATTTTTTTGGGTCAAAAAATTTTTTTTTTTTTAAATGCTTATTTTCAATCGAAAGAGCATGAAAAAACCTTTCCAAAATGTACCTTGCCAAATTTTTATGTTTAATAGTTTAAGAGTAAAAAATTATCGAAATAAGCATTACACCGTAAGACACCTGGATCACTTGACATGGAATGCCTCATATTATAAAATTCTTCGCAGGAATTTAATTATTTTTAAAAATTTGAATAATATTCTTCACAAGAATTCAATTATTTTTTTCTATATTATAAAATCCTTTAGCAGGAATTAAATTATTTTTAAAAAATTGAATAAAAATCTTCGCAAGAATTCAATTATTTTTTCTATATTATATATAATTCGTCGTTGGAATTCAAAAGTTTTGATAGAATTTTTTATAAGTATTTAATTAATTTCAAAATATTGAATAATATTCTTCACGAGAATTGAAATAATTTTTCTAAATAAAAAAATTCTTCATTGCATTTTAATTATTTCCAATAATTTTTTAGGCTTACATCGTTCGAGTTGTAAAGGAACAATTAGGAATGCGAACTCTAGCAATTGGCGATGGAGCGAACGATGTGAGTATGATTCAAACGGCCGATGTTGGAGTTGGAGTTTCTGGCCGAGAAGGAACTCAGGCAATAATGGCGGCGGATTTTGCGATCGCAAAATTTTCCATGTTATCCAGACTTTTATTGATGCACGGCCACTGGTGTTACGATCGTCTCTCGCGAATGATTCTTTACTTTTTCTACAAAAATGCGACCTTTGTCTTCCTACTTTTCTGGTTTCAGGTAAAATTTCTCCAAAGTTTTCATTCAAACTTCAAACAATTTAGCATTCGTTTATTTTTTTCTTTATTTATCTACTTGTTTATTGACTTCCTTGTTAATTTACTTTTTATTTTATCTATCAACCTATTTTTTTTGTCTATTTGTATATATTCGTATTTATTTTATTTATATATTTAAACATTTTTTAATTTGTTTTATTTTATTTATTATAATTATATTATAAAAAATTATAATTGTTATAAAAAATAATTTCGTGATTATTAAAAATTTATACTATAGTTAATTAATGAGAAAAATTGAATTGCAGTTGTATTGTGGATTCTCCGGAGCTGTGATGATTGATCAAATATACTTGATGTTGTTTAATTTATTATTCACTTCATTGTCGCCGCTTGCTTTGGGTGTTTATGACAGAATTGCACCGGGAAGAGTGCTTCTAGAAAATCCGGAACTTTATAAAAGAGGACGATTGGCCCTCGTTTATCAAACACATTCATTTTGGTTAACAATGGCAGATGCACTTTATCAGAGCATTGTCATTTTCTTTTTAACCGAAGCTGTAAGTTTAATTTCTCTTTTTCCATGATAAACATTTTCCCTTCTATTATTATTTACCATTTTTTTTTCCTTTTAATTTCAGGCTTATTATGATTCTGATGTGGATATATGGGAATTTGGAACGACAATTACTACCTCCTGTTTATTATCTATGTTAATTAATGTGAGCATTGAAACCAGATCGTGGGTAAGTACAGCAATGTTTCTTAATTCAATTTTAATTTTTCTATTTTTAATATAAAAGTATTTATATTTTTTTATTTATGTTTTATATTTTAATATAAAAGTAGTTATATTTTTTTATTTGTTTTACATTTTAATAAGAAGGCAGTTACATTTTTTTATTTGTTTTACATTTTAATATGAAAGCAGTTACATTTTTTTATTTGTTTTACAAAAACATTTACATTTTTTACATTTTAATATAAAAGTAGATACTCTTTATTTATTTTTTATATTTTTAATATAAAATTCGAGCAAAGGAATACTTCATGAAAAAGTAGAAAAGAAACTAAGATAGAGGAAAAGGAAATTAAATTTTTTTTAAAGACGAGAATAGTAAATTGAAATTTAGAATGAAAGTTGGTTAAATATTAATGATTAAATGTAATTTATGAAAAATTGCAGACTCTAATGCACGTTGGAGCAATTCTGGTATCGCTGGGATTATTTTTTGGATTTTGTATCCTCTATAACGCAATTTGTGTTAATTGTATGGGTCTCCCGGGCTCTTATTGGGTAATGCAGAAAGCGATAGCGAGGCATAATTACTGGCTCACAATTCTTCTTGCTTCAGTTCTCGCCATGTTACCCAGGTAAATGACAAAATATTTACATCATTTTTGCATTAATTGCATTAATTAAATAAATTAATTACTTTTAAGATAATAAAATTCATTTTTTTATTTCTTTGAATTAAATTTATCATCAGCTTAAATTAAATTTTTGTTCTATTTAAATTTAATTTATTTTCCATTTAAATTTAGATAATTTTCAACAATTAAGAGAAATTATCGTTTATTAGTTTATTATTTTACTAGAAAATGCTACGTTTATTATTTTCAAAAATTTTAATAAAATTTTTCGCAAGAATACAATTATTCTCATAAATAATAACATTCTGTGGAAGAATTCAATTATTTTTATAAATAGTAAAATTCTTCGCAGCAATTCAATTATTTTCAAAACAATTTTAATAAAATTTTACGAATTAAGATTCACGAAATTATTTTTAAAAATGTTTAAGTAATATCATTTTTCGAAAGAATTCAATTATTTCCTAAAATTTTAATAAAATTCTTCGAAACAATTAAATTATTTTTATAATTGTAAAATTATAAAATTAAAGAATTAAATAATTTTTATGAATACCAAAATTCTTCTCAGATGTTTAATTATTTACAATACAATTTTAATAAAATTTTTCTTACGGGTTCAATTATTTTTGAAAATTGTAATAAAATTTTTCTAAAAATGACAATTATTCTCAAAAGTTTTGATAAAATTTTTTTGTAAATTATAATTATTTTCAAAATTTTCAATAAAAATTATTCAAAAATCTACATTATCTTCCAAAAGTCGAAATAAATTCATCAAAACAATTCAATTATTTTCAAAAATATTATTAAAAATTGTTTAAAACAATTCAATTTTTTCAAAAATTTTAATAACATTGTTTGGAAGAATTCGATTATTTTTTTATAAATAATAAAATTCTTTGCGAGAATTTAATAATTTGTAATACAATTTTAATAAAATTTCTCTAAAGAATTCAATTATTATAAAAAATGTTACTACAATTTTTCTAAAAAATTCAATTATTCTCAAAATTCTTGATTAAATTCTTTGTAAATCTCAATTATTTTCAAAATTTTCATTTAAAATTATTAAAACAATTTTTTAAGAAATTTAAAGAAATTCTTTAAAGAATTTAATTGTTTTTACGAAATTTCAAATAAAATTCTTTAAAATAAATTAATTTTCTATCAATAATTTGAATAAAATTTAATAACAAAATTAGTAATTAAAATTATTAATAAACACGATTATTTTACAAATTGAAAAGAAATTCTTTATAAAATTCAATTACTTTCAAAAATTTCAATAAAAATCATTCAAAACATTTAAATAAATTCTTTAAAAGAATTCAATTATTTTCAAAAATATTAATAAAATTCTTTGAAACAATTGAATTATGTATTTTCAAAAATGTTAGTAATCATTCTTTGAGAATATTTGATTATTTTTATAAATAATAAAATTCTTTCCGAAAATCCAATTATTCTCAATACAAATTTAATAAAATTTCTCTAAAGAATTAAATTATTTTCAAAAATTTGATTAAATCCTTTAAAGGAATTCGATTATTTTCAAAGTTTTTTTTTATAAATAGTTCGCAAGAATTCAATAATTTCCGGATTGTAACGATTATTAATTTAGATTCATTTTTTTATTTTATTCGTATATCATTTAGTTTTATTAGTTTATTTTCTATTAATTTAATTTAAATTTATTTTACGTCCACTCTATATAAATTTATTTCCACATAAATAAAATAAATTTATTTCTCCAAAATTTGCAAGATATTAATACATATTATTTTTTTATAGATTAATGTACAGAGCTGTGAGAGCAACAGTCGCACCAGACATGATTCAGCGGACAGTTCGTGAACGTGCAATACCAATTCGAGAAAGAATTCAGGAACGAAGTGATTCAGATTTAGTTGCCGGCTGGTCACGTTCAACACAACACGCCACAATCAGGTATTTTCTATTAAATTTTTGTCCATTAATTTCAAATATATTCTAATTAAAATTATCTAGGAATTTATAATTAATTTTATAAATTGATTGGTAGTGCTTGATTGCAGGCCTGGAACGTACGAGTCCAGAAATGACGTTTTAACAACGATTGTTGCCTGACGTAGACAATTTTTCAAGTTGAAAATATAGTAAAAATATTTTTAAGGGGGAAAAAGAAATGTGAGAGAATTTTAATACAATGGAAAATAGGAGGAAAAATGCAAGATTAACGTGCCGAATTCTATTTTAAAGACTACACACGATAAGGAGCAAATCTGCCTGAGCAATGAGAGCTGAAATTATTAGTGATCCTATAAATATATATATATATATTTATTATATAATAATCACCGATTGTGTGATTCTATTTCATCATTGTCAGTGCTGTCACTATTGTTTTAGTCAAGAGGCCTTATTGCATTTTATTGGCTGTGACTTCTTTTAGGGACCAAGTTTCTCCTTTTTTTTTAAGAGAGAACTGTTCAACGAGAAATTTCTTTTCTTAATAATCGACGTTTTTATCATAAAACGATGCATTGTGCAGAGAATAAAAAAATGGACATTAATTTGTTTCATAAAAATATAAATCGACTTTCTGTATAAATTAAATACAAAATGAAAATAGTAGGTAATTTTACGTGTTTTTTGAAAGACATGAGACTTGTTAATCAGCGATTGATGAGAATTTTAATTGCTGAATGTATTATTAAAATCACATATATTGTTTTAATTACTTAAATAGATTTTTACAAATTATGATACCTTAGAAGTATTAACGAATACGATATTTTGATAAAAAAAATATAGAAATTAGTTTGAAATTCAGAGAATAGATAAATAGAAATGATGATGAAAAAAAAAGAATTAATGATTAACAGCGACAACAGTATAAATGTATATACAAACGAAAAATATTTATTTGCTTTGTCATTATTACATTTTTCTTTATCCTTTTGTGCTACGATTCTTCTGATGTATATTTTTCAGTGCCATTCACATTTTATGCAATTTTTTATAAATCTATCAGATTTATCGAGTCGAATAAATGGCTTTATTTTATTCATTCACTGACATTTTTATTTACATATTTTAATGTGTGTTCAAAGATTTATTTCTAAACTAAATAATATTTGTTTAGAAAGTCTTGAAAATTAATCATTAAAACTAACAATTTATATTAAATAAATATATATATTCAATTTTGAGAAAATAAAATTATTATTTAATTTAATCAAACTATTAATTTTGTTGCATACAAAAAACTGACGTTTCCGTATGAGTATCAGCAGAGTGTTTCTAAATAATAAAACTAGTTTAGCAATGTGAAAAAAAAATTTTAAGAAACAAAAAATATTAAATAACAATTTTAATTAAAATATTGAAACTTAAAATAATTATATAAAAACGTTTTTAATATTAAATTTAGTATTAATTCACACGGGTCTTTATCGATATAGAATTAAATAAATTAATCATAATTAATAATTAGCCTACATTTTTATTTCAAACTAATTTTTAATAATTTAATTTAATTTTAATTAAATTTTAATTCTAAAATTGAGTTTTAAAGGTAAAAAGATTAAATAATTTAAATAAATGGATTAAGTTTTTGATTCCTAATCGAAATTTTTTCATTTTTTTTGTTAAAATAAATAAATAATTCGAATAATTTAGAGTGAAAATCTAAATTTTAAATATTTAATGACAAGAGTAGGGATCTAGGTTAGGTTTTTGCATAATCGAATTTTTTTTTATTTCTTATTATTATAAATAAACAATTTAAAAAATTTACAGCGAAAATTTAAATTAAAAATTTTTTAATATTTTACACATTTTACATAATGTGAGGAGTGGGGATATAGGTTAGGTTGCGGTAGTGGGGGAGGTAATTCTATTGCTCCCGCAACATCGTTTTTGTGTGAGTTTGTTCCCGGCCAGTGTCGCGTCTGTTGTATTCAGTGTTTTTGTTTGTCGAGATAAATTTATTTTCTCAGCTTCTTTGTCATTATAAGTATATACCACATGTGTTTAAAAGTGTCCAGGGTAGTTAAAAGTGTTAATGGTACGTACAGTTGGTACAGTTTCATATTGGAGTAGCTTGAAAATTTGTCTTCCTTCTTCCTCGTTTTGTATAGTTATATATTTATTCGAAAGTCCCAATAAACCATGAATCATTATATTCCTTTCTCATCTCAAATATTTTTCGATTAGGGATGAAATTATTGATGATTCATTATTATATCTCATTTTTTCCTTGCGGGAAGAAAAAGACATCGAGATTTTTTATAGGTTATGTTTTTTTTAATTAACAATATTATTTTGCAAAGGTTACAAAGTAAAGTTGAATATAAATTAATATAAAGATAAATGTTTCTTTATTTAATATGAATTTATTTTGACAATACTTTTTGTATTTATAAAAAATACTTTTATTTTAATACAAAGAATACTTTTATTTAAAAATTGGATCATTTTTTTGATTCTAAAAGATTTGTTTACTTTTTTCCAAATCTAGGTGAAAGTGCAGAAATGCAACGATCCATACGGAAATGAAACCTCCTTTCTAACTGGGTCGTGATTATAAATAAATAAATAAAAACGATTGTTGAGCTCCAAAAGTTTTTCTATGTATATAGTGAAATAATATGAAGTTTAATGGATTTGAACATCGAAACTTCGAACATCATCGAAAGAATCTTCGTATTGCTGTTTAAATGAAGTAAGTTATTTTTTAAACATTTTCTTACAAGTGATATACAGTTTCGAAAAATCTTTTTTCTCTTTAGAATGAGACAATAAATTTTTTTTTTTTTTGCAATGTTTGAAAAAAGAAATGATAACATGTTGATAGATTAGATAATTAATCACTATTTAATTGATATCGATTATGGTGATTAGGATTTACTTTTAATTTATTTATTTTTTATTTATTTGATGTAAAAATAAATATTTTTGACGAGAAAAAAAAATTGTTACTATTTTGTAAAAATAATAATTTTTATTGTAGACATTAATATAAATGTGCTTTAGAAAAGAGTAACATGTGTTACACGTGATTCGAGTTTACAAGAACATTAATTGTTGAGATTTTGAGAGAAAACGCGATAATAGAAGTATTGTGCAAAAAAAAGATGAGAATTTACGGAATTTATTACATGAGTGTTATGATGTTTAGTCATTTATTTTTTTTCAATTTATACCGAATGATAATTGAGAGATAAAAGAGGGTCTCATTTTAAATAAACAACGAAAATTTTCACTAAATACTAATTACTACGAATATTAACTATTATTTTACCTAATAAATTAATTATTAATTACACTTTTAAGTAAAAATTAAAAGCTATTAAATACAGTGGATAATTTGTACTTATTCCGATTTTAAATTCGAAAAGAAACAAAAAGTATTTTTATTCGCTTAATAACTAAAAAATTATTTTACAATTAAAGCAGTAATTTGCAAATTTTATATTGTCACTTGTTTCATATCACTTTGTTCATTGTGTTGACATTGCGTATTTTTTTTTCTTTTATAACAAGTTACTTTCTTTATTAGAACATCTAATTGAGCATCACACATCACACTGTCAATCTCGTTTTGAAAGAAAGAAAAACTTGTTCTGTTCTCGGTTTTTCCATTCTCGGAGTTAGAGAAACAGTTAATTGAACCAAGTTGATTGTCACGAGCAATCCACACACGTGACAAATGACCAAGGTTATTATTTTTATCAATTAGTTATGTTAATTTTTTAAACAAACTTAAAATTAATTAAAAACACGAAATTTTCATTTTCATTGTCTCGAATTAAAAAGGAAGAAAAAAATTATTTGCATTTATAAAATAATATATTTTAAATGAAACTTCATTGACAACTTCATGTTTGACCTTGTCTTATTTATGCAAATAGACTTTTGTTAATGTATATTATTTCAGGTGCGCTTTGTAAAAAAAAAATATAATAATATTGGAATGATGATTTTGTTAGTTTACGATATTCAAGTGGAAAATAATATGTTACACTATGAGCTTGTAATGTTTGTGACCTTGGCAAAGCAGGATATCCATTGGTATTTAATTAAAAAGTTAATGTAGCAAATAAATGAAAATTTATAGATAAAAAGAATTTGTTGTTTAAAGAAGGATTAATTCCGAATGGGATTTAATTAATGATTAATTTATTAGTTTTTGGCAATTTTTCCAATTTTGTTTCCTTGTGGAGGAAGGATTTTATTTAATTATATTTCAATAATTTTAATTTGAATAGTAAAATTAATTTTTTCTTTTCTAGGTAGGAACCAGAAGTACCTAAATGTCGAGAGAGGATTACAATTCTTTGGTTTTTCTAACGACAGATAAAGGATGACAGTTAGCTACACAGCCGAAGTTGCCACCTGCAGGGGCCTTGGCTGCTTTTTAAAATTATTACTTAGGTAAACAAATTATTTTTTTCGCAAATTTCTCAAAATCTTGGGAACAAGAATATCCAAATTCTCCTTTTTCTTTTCATTGCGACATTATTTTTTATTTTATTTTTTTTTTACTTTTTATTTTATTGATAAATATTATATAATTTTTATTATATATTAATAATATCTAAAAATTAGATTAAAAAAAGATTTAAAAAATATTTTTCAAAATACAAATTCTATTTTGAAAAGTAGTTTTTAAATCTTTTTTTAATCTAATATTTATTATGTTTCTTCGTTTTTATTCAAATTCAATAGTAAAGTATTATTTATTTTTTTTTGTGGAGATCAGACAATTTGTTTTTGAGTAGAAATTATTATTCAATGACAATTTGCTTTTTTTATTTTATGATACGTGAACTATAATTTGCTAAAAAAAATTTCCACAAATGCTACATGATCAGAGAGAAGATGGAAGATCTATTAAATAATTTCATAGAGCTTCATTCTTAGAAACTGATTATAAGATTATAAGCTAGTCTGAATCAAGGAAATTTTTTTTTCTGCAAATGTGTACAACATTGTCATTTTATAACATCTTGTGCCTTATTAATTATTTTATCACGCAATCAGTTCTGTTTTTAATTATTATTTAATTTTTTTCTTTTTTTATTCATTTACTTATTTATATTTCGTTATTTATTCATGTATTCATTCATATTTTAGTTATTTATTCATATTTTAGTTATTTATTCATATTTTGGTTATTTATTCATTTTTAGTTATTTATTCATTTTTAGTTCTTTATTCATATTTTAGTTATTTATTCATATTTAGTAAATTTATTTATTTCATTTTTGTATATACAAAATTTTCCATATTTGCAGAAATAATTTTAAAAAATTTTCTCGCTCTAAAATGAAGTTGATAAAATTCTGAGCTTCAAATTTTCATTTTATTTACTAGAGATTCATTGAATGAATGTTTGAAAAATCTATAGGCATTTATCTGTCACGAGTGAGTCATAATTGTAATGGTGTTGATTAAACCATTATACTCATTAACATTATCAGTCGAACGAAATAATGCAGTTTTGTGAAATTTACGATTTTATACTTCTTTCATTTTATAATTTTTGGCATTTATTATTTTCCAAAGTTACATTATTTTTTTACAGTATAATTTTTTTTAATAGAATATTTATTAATATTGTATATTTCTATTATAATATTATTGATATTATATTTTTTTACTAGAAAAATATTATTATTATTATTATTATTTAAAAAAACTAAAATACTTAAAATTATTTTAGTATTTATTAATAGTAGATTGATTAATTAATTAATTATAAAAAATTATTAATAATCTTGTATTATTTTTGTTAATTTTTTTAATGGTTCGTTATTCTCATCATTTATTTTTATTTGTATACTTGGAAAAATTTTAATTTAATATTAGGCAAAATTGTTAACAGGTGTTACATAATACTTTGAACTAATTTGCCTTTATGACATTATTATCTATAGTTCGAGGTCAATTCACAGGTCGAATGTCGAATGTAAAAATCTTTTGAAAGTTGATATGATTTTATTCAATTTCTTAAAATTAGGCACTTCCGTTTTTACGAAATTTATCTTCTACTCTATCATATCGCGAAAAAACGAAATTTTTTTTCAATGTAGAAATATAATTTTATAAATTTAAATTTTCATTTCTTTGTGAAAAATTGATAATTTAAATGTAGTGTTGTTTCTAAAATTGAAAAGCAGTCGAGGGAATAATTATGTATAGTTTAGCAGAAACAGGATCGATGTGTGAAATGGTGTCATGAATTTTTCTATCAGATATACATGCATATAATCAGTGGTTCTGCAAACATGACTTTCGAGAATGAATTTAAAATAAAATTTTTAGTCGACTTCGTATTTCGAAAAATGATTACGTTGATTTTTAAACAAGTTCTTTTTTTTATTTTTATACACAACATTTATTTGCATACAAAATTCAAAGTAGATATTGTACTCTGAATTTGTATTTTTGCATGAGAATTCGTATTGTTTTTTTTTTTTCTTGAAAAACTGTATTATTTTGCAAGACTTTAACATTTTTTTTTTATAATGAAGTAAACAAATAGAAATTCGTTTGAAATATTATTAAAAATTGATAGATTGTCGCCTACTTATCTATTTTTATTTCTATTTGTGCTAATTTTTAAATAGTTATCGCTCGCAGATAAGGTCGAGAAAGGAAAACAAATTTTCTTCGCGGTTGGAAAAAAAACTTGTCAGAATTTAGAATATTTGTCGAATAAAAAGAATTAGAATTAAAAAATTTAAATTAAATTTAAAGTTGAGAATTTTTTTTATTCTTCTGTATTTTGTTCTATTTTATTTTATTTTTTTTTATTTTGTTATTTAAATAAAAATTTTGAATTATTTAATATTGATGATTTATTTGAAATAATGACATTCAAATAAATTTGAAGATAAGATTTGAAATTTATGGATTCATGAAATGAATTTGCTTTTGAAATATGTCAAGATTAATATAGCGTGTCTCATTTTTCTTTAGTGTCAAGTTAACCGCATTTTGTAACTCATCACGCAAAACTAGAAAAAACTATACACTGAATTCTTCATTGCTTCCTCTATGAGTGAAATAATTCTTGAAATTTTATGGGTCACAAATAGTTTCTTTTTACTCCATAATATTATTATTTTTCTTTGAATTTTTCTGTTTTATGGAACAAATGAAAAAAACGTATTTTATTGGATAAACCTTAATGAGATATTTGATATTTTCTAGTAATAAATTGTAATTTTTAAATATTTATTTTTCATTTATTTATTGTTTTGTTTTCTTTATCATGAATGTCGGATAAATTAATTTGTTATTTGTAATACTGTTGCGGGAATTAAAAGTAGAAATGTTCTTAAAATAAATGTATGTTCTATGATGTATAAGATTGCGAGATGACTGCACATGATTTGTGTCCGGTGCTCGGAGACATTTTGTCGTCAGTTTATTTTAAATCTCATTATGAATCTGGCTCTGAATCAGAGTTCGTCCACCGCTATTTGCATCCAATTTATAATTATTCATTGATTTTTTTTCATCCGATTAAAACTATTTTCTTCTCTCTTTAAAATTTGACCTTCTCTGTTTATTCCATATTTCTCCCTTAATTTTTGAATGTATTAAATTTTAATTGACCTTGAACTACTGAATTTCGAAGCTCAATTTTTAATTCAAGCTTTTTATTTTCAATTTAATATTAAGTTTCAATTTTCAATTTAATATTAACTTTTAGATTTTAATTTAATATTAATTTGTAATTTAATATCAGTTTTCAATTTTTATTTTTTTTATTTGATTTTAATTAAAAATAATTATTAGGAATGAAAGAGGAATGAAAGACGGTTTAAATGAAGTGTGACTTGGGGCTTTTTAAAATAAGAAATGACTCGATAAGCAAATAAGGAATTCGTAGTAAAGTTTTTTTTTGAAATCATCAATGACAGTCACGTTTAAAATATCGCTGTTGAAATCCTTTGTGCGGTTATTCGAGCATTACGATAAAGTATTTCTGGTGCATAAAACATGATGCGTTACGCGTTTTCAAATACTTTTACGTCACTTCCGTTTTCTAGTCAATCAAAACCTAGACTAGTTGACAAAATAGATTTTGTAAGTTGAGAATTTGATTTCGCAACTAAATTCTGCAATTTTGTTTGCTAGGAATTAATGTTCAATTTGTTTTCTATTAATCAAGTTGATACTTTTTAATTCTTTTCTATTTTTAATCGCTTAGAAAATTTCACTCGATTGAAATAATACTTTTGTGACAATTAATTAATAATAATAGTAATAAAAAAATAATTACGTTTTTAATTAATTTATTTAATTAATTTCTTTTTATTAATTTGTTTCAGGTGGCGAGCCAGTATTTATAAACTTGTGTGGTTGGAGTTGGCAATTTTTCTTATGATTTATTACTCACTTTCGGCGATTTATCGTTTTCTACTCGATGATCATCAAAAAAAAATATTCGAGTACATTGTTGCATATTGTAATGAGTACTCGGATTACATCCCATTGGCCTTTGTCATGGGCTTTTATGTGACAATTGTCATGACCAGATGGTGGAATCAGTACACGGCAATTCCATGGCCTGATTCGATAGCCGTCTTCGTATCTGCCACGATTCATGGCAATGATGAAAGAGGAAGATTAATGCGACGTACCATCGTTAGGTTAGTATTTTTTCCAAACAGATGTCTGCAATCACTTTGTTATTTTTTAAATGCATTTCAATAATCTACTTTTAAAGAAATTTACAAAATTTGTATTCTAAAATTTTAATTTGTAGTTCAATTATATTTTATACAAATTTTAATTAATTTACAAATGACGAAAAATTGAATTTTTTAACTTGTAAATTGGATTGTAAATTTAATTTACAATTTAATTAACAATGACGAATAAACATTTATAAAATACTAATTTAATTTAATCTTTTTTGCAGGTACGTGTGCGTTTGCCTCACGCTGGTCCTCACGAATGTTTCGCCACGAGTGAAGAAGCGTTTTCCCACACTGGACCATTTTGTCGATGCTGGTTTACTTCTTGAGAATGAATTAACAATATTTCAGAGTTTAAATCAAAAATATCCAAAACCAAGTAAACATTGGCTGCCAATTGTATGGGCGTCGAGTATCGTCACTCGAGCGCGTAAAGAAGGTCGAATACGAGATGATTTTGCGGTGAAAACGTTGATTGACGAATTGAACAAGTTTCGCGGTAATTGCGGCACATTAATTCAATATGACAATATCAGCATTCCACTTGTTTACACGCAAGTTGTTACTTTAGCTGTTTATTCGTATTTCATCTCAAGTGTTATGGGTGGACAATGGGTTCAAAATAAATCCTCATCGGCGATTGATCTCTACTTTCCCTTTTTCACCACTCTTCGATTTTTCTTTTACATGGGCTGGCTTAAAGTTGCCGAGACGCTCATTAATCCTTTTGGCGAGGACGATGATGATTTTGAGGTCAATTGGCTCGTCGATCGTAATTTACAGGTAAAATTATTGTATTTTAATTTATAATCATTTATTTTTTGATATTGTTGTGTTAATATTTTATTCTTTAATATTTGAATTTTTGTTTGATTTTTGATTCGTTTAATTTCTTTACAGGTGAGTTACTTAATTGTTGATGAAATGCATCACGAACATCCGGAATTGATACGAGATCAATATTGGGACGAAGTGTTTCCTATCGAACTTCCGTACACAGCCGCTTCTGAGCCATTCCGTGAAGAGCATCCCGAGCCGTCGACGGCGAACATTCAACTTTCGGCAGCGCAACAAGAAATTTTACCCTCCTCGGTGAGAATTGACGAAATGGTGCCGCCAGATTATCAATTAAAGGATATTCGTACCGACGTTGCGGACGATGCTGTCTCTGGGATACACTTTCATGCTGGAAAAATTTCGAGGTATTTTCTTATACGAGCAAAAGAAGAACGTGATTATTTTCTTCCTTGACTATTTTATTTTTAATTTCCAAAAAAAAGAGGAAAGAAAATGTCGAGAATAAATTTGCAATTATGAAAGATAAATATTTTTTTAGGAGCACTAGCCGAATTAGTAACAGAGAGAGAAATATGAGTCTTGGATCGACACCGAGTAATATTGGAGGATCGCTGACTAGAATAGGAAGTGTTACCAGTGTACTTAAGAGAATGTTTAGCAAAGAAGATCGTCCGGATGGGTCAAGTGTGAAAACTCCAGGGCTCCTTCCGAGTTCGAGTTCCGCTGCCTCGCTTCAAAATCAACGTCAAATTGGTAAAAATCAAATTTTTCGATAATAATGATCCACTTCCTGCAGATTAAAGTTTTTCTTCTGCGGTTAATTAAAATTGTCTGTTAGTACAATATTTTTAGAAACTTAGTTTTAACTTAATTTTAATATTTTTCTTGTTTTTTTTTTTAGGTCCAGGAGGGTCCATGAGAATAGGAGTGATAGAGGAGGTGGACGAGAACGCAATGACAATGACGTCGATGCGCCCCGAGTATCGACCTCCACATGTGAATTCAATTTTTCCTCAAGGTCCTCCACCGCCCAGCGAACCAGTCGATGTTCCTAGAGCGAAAGATTTTTCGAATCGCAATGGTCACTTATTGTCAACAAGCGCACCTGCAGGAATTGTTCGTTGTCGTAGTTCTTCATCAGCATCCAGGTGAGTGCGCTTTGAATATTTCAGACTTTAGATCGACTTTAGCAAAAAAAAGTTGCTTTAGTCGATTCAAGATTCCAAAAGTTTTAAAAAAAGGCGTTTATTTTATTCAGTGTTTTTTCACAAAAATTTCAGTTTAAATATTTAAATATTTAGATACTTGTTTTATTTATTTTCCTACAGGAAAATAAATATAAAAATTAATTAAAATTAAAATTTTGAAATTTAATTGCTCCTACAAATTAAAATTCCAACCTTTCCAAAATTTAGTTGGATAATTAATATTTTAAAGAATTTTTAAATAAACTACTTCTTTAAATCAATTGTTTTTGGACAATTTTATAAACTTATTAATTTTTTTTGAAGAATTTTAATTAAAAATTTTGAGAATAGTAATTATTTTCTCCAAGTTTTCAATAATTCCAAAAAATTAGATTTTTAAACAAATTTCACTGTTAATATTTTATGTTTTTGTAGATATTTAAATTTTCAAAATTTAAAAATATTATATGAAAAATATTCTAAGAATTACTATTTTTGAAAAAATTTCTTTATATACTGTTTTTGAAGCTAATTTTCATTTTGATTTTTCATTAAAATTTCTGAGAATTTAATTATTTAAAAAATTTGCAATTAAAATTGATCAAAATTTGATTTTTAAATATTCTAATTAATACTTAAAAGAAATCAATTGTTTTCAGTAAAATTTTACAAAATTTTAATTATTTTGAAAATTTTTAAATTACATATTTCGGAAGTTTTATTATCTTAGGAAAATTATTCAAAAATAAATTTGAATTTTCAGAAAAATGTAATTAAAAAATTGAATTTAAGGAAATTATGTATTAATGAAAAAATATTCACAATTAATTTTTCAAAAAATATTTTAATCTTTGAAGCTTATTTTCATTTTCATAATTTTCATTTGATAATTTTTCATTAAAAATGTTGAGAATTTAATTATTTTCCAAATTAGCTATTTAAATTTTCTAAAATTTGACTGTAAAAAATTTTAATGCAATGCTTTGAAAAATCAATTATTTTGAATAGAATTTTACAAAATTTCAATTATTAAAAAATTTGCAATACTTAATTAGTATTAAACTTATTATGTTTAATTAAAGCCTGCATTTTATATCAGAAAAGTGGTATTTTATTTCAATATTTCTAAGAAAAGTCGAAAAAGTCTCATTCTTTGAAAATAATTTTGAGAAGGACGCCTTTCCTAAAAATAGACAAAAAAATTTCCTTTTCAAATATTTTCAATTTTTAAAAATCCTAATTAAATTCTTTTGAAGAATTTCTTTGGATTTTTTTTTAACTAATGGAGTTTTTTTTAATAATTTTAATTGAAAATTTTGAAAGCAACTGAATTTTATAAAGAAAAATTTTATTAAAATTGCATTGAAAATAATTGAATTCTTGTGAAGAATTTTACTATTTATCAAAATAATTGAAATTTTTTGAAAAATTTATTAAAATTTTAAGAAATAATTAAATTGTTATGAAGAACTTTATAGAAATATTTAAAAATAATGAAATTTTTTCGAGAAATTCAATTAAAGTTGTTTCGAAAATAATTGAATTTCTTTAAAGAATTTTATTATTTTTTGAAAATAATTGAATTCTTTCAATTTTTTTGACGAATATATTTAAAAATTGCATTCGAAAGTAATTTAATTTTCATATAGAATTTTTTGAAAATATTTTGAGAATAATTGAATTATGTTTAGAGAATTTTAAATTCTTGTTGAAATTGAATTTTATGGAAATTTTTGAAAATAATTAAATTCTTTCGTGTAATTTTATTTAAATTGTATTAAAAATTATTTAATTCCTGCAAAGAATTTTAGTATTTATAAAAATAGTTGAATTGTTTCGAAGAATTTATTTAAATTTTAGGAAATAATTGAATTTGTTTAGAAGGATTAATTAAAATTTTAGAAAATAATTGAATTCTTTCGGGTTAATTTTATTAAAATTTTTGAAAATATGAACAGTAATACAATTAATTTTGTACTTAATAAGTGGATTTTTTAAATTTTGATTATGAAATTATTTAATAAATTTATATTTGAAAATAAAAAATTTTGTAATTTGCATAACAATAATAAATTGAATATCTCGTTCCGCGCGTAACATTTGTTAGTTCGTTTATAATTATGAACGAATTTTTCGTAACATTTTTTTTTTTTTAATGAAAATTAATTTTTATTTGAAGAAATCGACCCTCACAATCAGCAAGATCGAGTGTAATGTACGATCCGAGTTTCATTAATGATTTAAACGAGGAGGACAATGATAACGAGAGTAATGCAAGTTCAATGCATTCATCTGACGAGTCAGTGGACGAGTTCACGAAATTAAAAGTAGAAAGAGAAAAAATACGAGCGGACAGGGCACTTGGTAAAATTGCAAGAAGTATCGAAAATAATCGGCAAAGCATATTGGATTTAGCTGATGGAGAATCGCTTCTTCTTGCTGATCTCGCTGAATCTTCGAAACACGCAATGCAATCAGGTCGTTACAAGAAGGATGATTCAAGTAATAAATAATTACTCGTTCACTCTTCTTCTTCTTAGATGAAAATTTTCTCAAAAAAAAAAAAAAAAGAAATGAAAAAGACTTTGTGATAAAAAGAAAAGACACTTTGTTCCGAGTGCACCAATTTTTTTCTCTCTCTCTCTCTCTATTGAAATATTTTCTAGAGATATATTTAAAACTAAAGATTTCGAAATTATCACTTCCCTAATCTAGATAAAATGAAATTTTAATAATTCCGAGAAACTTTTGTAAATTCTGCTTTGAACTTGGCTTTTTAATTAGAAAGAACGAATTTTTTCTTGATATCTACACACGAGAAATGTCAATTCTCATTAAAGAAAATCCGTCTGGAAGTAATACTTTTACGGTAATTTTGTAATCTACGAAGACATTTTCGTACAACGAGTGAATTGAATATTTTTATGAAAGTAATAATGCTGCTCCTTTTACAAGCGAAGCTTTTTTTTAAAAAGAAAGAAAGAAAGAAAGAAAGAAAGAAAGAAACTTTCGAGAATTGAAAATATTTTATTAAATTTTGCGAAATCTTTATTTTTATATGGCTTTAATTATAATACCACCAGTGGTTCGTATTAGTAGAAGAATTTTAATTATAATATAGCGAATTATATCTAGATAGCTTAAATTAGTCGAATCAATGCTTCATTAATGTCTTCATGTGTACTTATTCATTATTTTTTTCACAGATCTGTTACATCTGTCACACAAATAATTTTATTTTAAAAAAAAAAAAGTTTTCAATATTTGCAGGATAAATGTGCCTATAAAAATCAGTGCCTAGAATTTTTTTTAACTCATCCTTTTGCTATAAAAGAATGTGCTTTTTTTACATAAATGAATCACACAATTGATCGCACATTTCTATTTCGATAAAATAAGAAAAAACAAAGTAAAGTTTATATTTCCGTGTTAATATGAAAATCAGTATTAATTATCAAAATATATTAATCGACGATAAAAAAAGTATATCTAACCAATAAATCTACTTTTTAGATCACTAATTTTTTAATTCACCTGTGAATTCTCTTTTTGTAAAAGTTGATTTATTGGTTTTTGTTTTTATCGATTTTGCTTTGGGGAAAAAAAAATCAGCCATTGTTATTAATTTTGACTGAATTTACACAAACAAACATTTTATTAATAGATTATACAAAATTATTTCTTGTTAATGGATTATATTTACTATTTTTTAAAAACATTGTACAACGATTATAATTTGTTTAATAGATATAAATGATGATGATGATGATGATAATGACTAGTTTTGTAATCAATTTTTAGTGCTTAAGCACGTAGTTATTTTTTTAAGTCTCTGTAAATTCGGCTTTTTTTATATAAAAATTTTTTTTGTTAAGTGATGCAAGCCGAAAGTAGAATATTAATCAACGACTAATTTATAACGAAAAATTTATTTTTTGTGCTCGACAATGTGCAAAATTTAAAATATCTAATGCCATTGTTTAAACAGTATTAACCCGTTGAAATAAATTGATATTTTCACGGGAATCATCAGTTTATCTTTTTCTATAAATATCTCTTTATGCTTTTGTTAAAAAATAATTTAGGTACGAGCTTAAATTTATGAGACCTAGATCGTAATGTGGAAAATAATTCTGTTTATTATTGCGTTTAATTGTGTATGAATGTTTTTATATTATTATTTTAATGTGCGTTTGCTCTTTTATTTATTTTATGTATGTATTTGTTATTTGACGTTTTTGTAGACTTTTGATTTTTTTTGAGTACTCAGTTTTTGTAATGATATCAAATTGAGACAAAAACGTGATTATATTTTTTGTGTTAATTTTTTTGAGCTAAATTAATTTCGAAAGTTCGACAAATCGATCGTAATTTGATAAATCTTTTGTATGTGTCCTCGTGTTTAAGTTTTAATTTCGTATTCATTGCGGTATAAAATGGAATATATTCGGAATTGACAGGATTTATTTCGATAAAAAGTCGACCTCCCGGTTTTAATGCATTTGCCGAATAATTTAAGAGCGGCTTAACAACTCTCAAACCATCGGGTCCACCATCTGTGGCCCTCACATCCTCGTGTCTAAAAATGCATAAAAGATTATTATTATTATTATTATTATTATTATTTTTATTATTATTGTTTTTAGTATTTTTTTATTATTATTGTTATACGCTTCGATTGTTATTGCAAAATTGTGTATTTTTATTGTATTTTTTATTGTATTTTTTATAATTATTTTTATTCATATTATTATTTTTATTATTATTATTATTATTGTTATTATTATCATAATTATTATTATTATCATCATACGCTTCGATTGTTAATGAAAAATTGTGTAATTTTTAGTAAAAAAAAAATTCTAATCAAATTTTCCATCTTGAAAAATTAATCTATTCAAAAATAAATGAATAGAAGGATTAGAAATTAATTTTTACGTATTATACAATTTTACAAACAAATTTATTTTATTTTAAAATATTTATCTATGTAATTTTTTAATTTTTATCAAATTTTATTTAATAATTTGACTTTTCGAAAATTATGGAATTTTATAAAAAATTATAATTTACTTAATTTACTCACAGTTTAATTTCAGGTGGAAATTTGACATATTGTTTGGTTGTTACATAAGGTGGGTTACTGACAATTATATCAAGTTTCTTTTTATTCAAGTCAATGGATTTTTCCTCAGGTGAATTTTTTATTGTTCCATCTTCTTGTAATGTGGCATTTATCACTGTTATTCGATCATCGAGTTTCAATGTTCTCGCATTTTCCAACGTCAAATTGCAGGCATTTATGTTTGTGTCGAGTGCCATTGCCCTAATCTTGTGATAAAATATTGAAACAGGTAAATAATTAATTTTTAAATTCGAATAATTTGAGAATTATTTCATTTAAATTGAATTGAAATTAAGTTATTTAATTTAAATTGAATTTAAATTGAATTGAAATTCAATTTGAGTTATTTAATTGAAATTGAAATTTAATTTGTTATTTACTTTGTTTAAATTGAATTTTAATTATTGATTAGTGTTGATAAATTATCTATTAGTTAATTAAGAGAATTAACCTTGTTGCAGGCATTTAGAAGAGAGAGGATAATTGCTCCAGTACTGCAACCAACTTCTAATACTTCACAAGAATCAAAATTACTATTTGACACTCGTTGGAGAACGAAGTCGATTAGCATTTCTGTCTGTGGCTCGGGAATAAATATCGGAGGCACTAATTTTAAGGTGATATCACGAAATTCCCATTCTCCTATTAAATATTGAACTGGAATTCTGGAGTTTTTTTGGGAGAATAAAAATAGAAGAGGAAATTTGAAAATGGAGTAAGTTTATTTCTAAATTTAAATTTTATTTATTTTTTTTATTAATTTAAAATCTTTAATTACCTTTCTAATCGACGTTTAGAGAGCATTTCTATTTTTTCCATTTCATCTGTCGTGAGTTCTTTTTCTTGTTGACTTCCTAATTGTCTTTTCTGCATTTTAAAAAAAAGTTATAATTTATTTTTCTTATTATTTATTTTTATATTTATTATTTTTTTGTATCCATAATTTTTTAAAATATTATTTATTATTTGTTTATATATATATATATTAGTTTTTTATTACTCTTTTTCTAATTTATTATTTTATTTTTTGTCTTTAAAGTTTCGAACGTTGAAATAAACGACGAAATTTTTACTATTTCTTTTGATTTGAATTTTATTTACAAAATATTTTTTTCTAATTAAAAAGTAATTTTTAACTAAATAAATATTTAATTACAATATAGAATTACGAATTACAAATTTGATTTGAATTTTTTTTACAAAATATATTTTCTAATTAAAAAATAGTTTTTAACTAAATAAATATTCAATTACAATTTTGATTTGAACTTTATTTACAAAATATTATATTTTCTAATTCAAAAATAATTTTTAACTAAATAAATATTCAATTTATCTAAAGAATAACATTTTAGAAATTTATTTATTTCGAAACATAATTTAAAATTTATAATTTTTAATTTACAATTAGAAAATATTCTATAAAATTTCGTAACAGGAAAAAAAAATTTATGGAGAATTCTTTTACCTTCTTCGTGCCAATAACATGAGCGACAATATACTCGATTGATTCGATCGGATCTATCGAATTATTTTCAAATTCTTGACGCCAGTACTTTACAATGTTACCGATTGTATTTTTCTTTCTTAACGTACACAAATTACAAGTTATTAATTTCGAAGGTATTCTTTCAAAGTTTGATTGAAATTTACTCGAAAAACGATAATAATTCGATTGGAATTTAAAAATATTTCGCAGCAACATCATCGTACTGCGAATTTTCACTTTGCAATGAAGAAATTTGAAATAGAGAAGTGAATTGGAACAGGAATTTGAAAATATTATGACATTCTATTTGCGTTACGAGAATTTGGAGTTTTATTTTTGTCAATTATAAAGTTAAGAAATTTAATTTTTTAATTTAATTTAAAAAATGTTTAAACAGATAATCAACTGATTTTTTATTTATGAGAAAAAATGAAAATTATTTCAATCTTTTGTTTCTGTTTATTAATGTTATATTTACAATGTAGATGCAAGTTTAATTATTATTTTATTTCGAAAATTTATATTTTCAAAACCTCGACAAATCGATCGTAATTACTAAAGTCTTTATACGTATGTTCGTATTTGAGTTTTAATTCATTGTACTTGGCAGTAAAAAATTGGATATACTCGGAATGAGCCGGATCTATTTCTATAAAAAGGCGTCCACCCGGTTTCAGTGCTTTTGCCGAATAATGTAAAAGAGGTTTTATAACTTTTAATCCATCCTCTCCTCCATCCAATGCTCTAACGTCCTCATATCTGTAAAATAAATCATCAGTTACAATTTGATATTTTTCTGTAAAAATTGATCCAAAAAAACAAATTCAATTAAAATTGAATTTAATTGAAACAAATTAATTAATTAAATTAGAATTTAATTTGATTAAAGCAAATTAAATTAGAATTGCATTTGATTAAAGCAAATTAAATTAGAATTGAATTTGATTAAAACAAATTAAATTAAGATTTAATTTGATTAAATCAAATTAAATTAAAATTTAATTAAATTAAATTACATTTAACTAAAATTTTAATTTAATTCAATTTTTTATTTTACAAGCAGTGTGAATTTAATTATTACAATTTTATTTCAGGCATCAATCTGAAAACTTGTTTTGTCGATACATAAGGCGGATTACTGATAATGAAATCAAAGGTTTTCTCCTTGAAATCAAGTGAATTTTCCTGAGATGAATTTTTGATTGTTCCATCTTCTTGTAATGTTGCATTAATCACGGTTAATCGATCATCAAGTTTCAAATTCTGAGCATTTTCCAAAGTCAAATTGCAAGCATTTTTGTTTGTGTCGATTGCCAATATCTTGAGCTGCAATTTAGAGGTAAATTACTATTATTATCAATTTCTGGAATTATATATAATTATAATACATTGTAATTAATTATTACTTACTTTTTTGCAGGTTTGCAGAATGGATAGAGATATTGCACCGGAACCACAACCAATTTCCAGTATATCACAGGAGAAATCAGGATAATTACCAGTCGATATTCTTTTTAGTACAAAATCCACTAAAATTTCAGTCTCGGGTCGTGGAATGAATATCGGTGGTATTAATTTTATTGTGATGTCACGAAAATCCCAATTGCCTATGATGTATTGGATTGGCATTCTGTAAGGTATTTTAATTTTATTTTATTTACAATTTTACCGTCTCTATTTTTTTAATTCTTAAATATTTTCTTCTACTTAATCTATGTACCTAATCGACGTTGGCGAAGTTCACAATGTTTATAATCAACGATTTAGAAGAAAAATTATTTCTCTATTCAAATTTTGATATATTTTCGTATAAAAAATGTTTTTTTATCAATAATTTTAAAAAGAAAAATTTGTAAACAATACATTTTATTGTTTTCGTTAAGAAAAATATTTTTTTCTTTCAAACGTTGTAAACTTCACTGACGTCCTGATTCGTTCTTTCGAAAATATTTTTTAAATAGGAACATTTTTTTTTAATTGATAAAATTGAATTAAATTTAACTGTTGTTTAATCCATTCAAGAATTCAAAGATAAATTTTATCAATTTTATACACCTTGCTAATCTGCATTCACAAAGTCTTTCAAGTGTTTCTATTTCATTTGAACTGAGTTCTTTTTCTCTTAAATCTCGAACTTCCATTATCTGAAAAAAAATGGTGTAAAATCATTTGTTTTCATTGTTATAAATAAATTAAAAAAATTTAAATAATTTAAAAAATTAAGGAAAAATTATAATTATTAAATTAAACTATATTACAAGTTTTATTATTATTTTTATTATAAATAATTAAAATTAAAAAAATAAGAACTATAAAATTCAATTAATTATTAATTAATAATAATAATAATAATAATAATAATAATAATAATAATAATAATAATAATAATAATAATAATAATAATAATAATAATAATAATAATAATAATAATAATAATAATAATAATAATAATAATAATAATAATAATAATAATAATAATAATAATAATAATAATAATAATAATAATAATAATAATAATAATAATTAATTACAGACATTTTAGCATTAGATTTTATAAGTAGATATTTTTTAAAATTACCAAATTTAATTTGAGATATTTTGGAATTAAATTCTCGACATAATTAACTAATTAAAATTGCTGTTTTTTTGAAATATTTAAACGAGTATTATTTAATTAGTTGTTATTAATTATTATTTAGATTAATTATAGTAATATATTTAATATTTTTATTCTTAGAATTTATTTATTTATTTAAATGTCTTATAAAAATTTTTTATTGGGATTTTTTAACGTGAAAATTATTTTTTTAATCACTTTTTTATCACTATTTTTAATAATTTTATTCTTATCTTGAAAAATTAATTTCTCGTACCTTTTTGGTGCCAATAACATGTGCGACAATGTGTTCAATCGATTCAATTGGTTCAGAAATTTTCTCATTTTGAAATCTTTGATGCCAATGGTCCACAACATCACCGATTGTATTTCCTTTATTTATTGTACAAAATCGAGCAACACTTTTTTCCCTACAATAATTAGGACTGTTTTTTAAAATATTACGGAGCAACAAACAACTTCGTGACATTTCTCCTCTTATCTTTTTTTTCCTCTTTTAAAAACATTGCCATCTATTGGTTAGTTTGAAAAAGAGAATGAATTTTTGCTTATTTTTAAAATTAATTTCTATTTCCTACTGATTATTTCAATAAATCAGGAACAATTATTAAAAATGGAGAATTTTGATAAAAAAAAACTATTTTTACTTAAAATTATTTTTTTTAATTTTTTTGAATTTTTATACGTTTCCCGCAATTTTCAACAGATGGCGCGTACGTTAATTTCCTGTGATTAGCGAATTAGTTTGAAGAAGTATAATTAAAGAAATGTTTTGATTTCTTATTGGTAAAGTGAATTATTAATTGAAAGTGAATATTATATTCGGATGTTAATTTTTTTTTCTGTAAATTATTATATTTTATAGTTTGAAATTTGAAATGATGGAGGGAATTCTAGCGCATGCGCATAGTTTGAATTTTGCGGGGCGGAGAGGAAGGCGCAGCGCCATGACAGCCATGACAGTTTTCCGTGAGTCTGTGCACGTTATGAACGTGTTGTCTCTCTGTCTCATGTTTTTCGCGAGTGTAAATTGTTGTCTTGTCTAGGAATAAATTTTAATAATAGTTCGTGTATTATTTCACTTATTAAAGTTCAATGGACTTTGTCTTTAGAAATATAATTGTCGTTTTTTATAACAAATTTTTTATCCAGTGTGTGAGTGTGTGTGATCGTTAATAGTGTTTGACGTTACTAGCTGTCAAGTTTTAGCTCGTGCGGAATTCCGGAGATAAAAAAAAACGTTGAATTAGTAGTAAAAGTTAACCTCAAAGTCACACTGGGGAATAAGGTGATAAATCATTGTTTATTGTTGGCACGCAAACTGCTCCTTCAGGTAAAAGAGGAGGGAGTAGGAGAAAAGAGTAGTGAGTTGTATAGTCAGGACGAGAGCTAATGTGCCGGAAGAATTTTTGCGGTCTTGTGTTTCTCAAAGTAAAAGGAATGTTGTGGTTTAATGATTCGTGTGTTGTCTTTTCCTATTCTCTGGAATTAAATGGTGTGCTTTGAAAGAGGAGCGCCGTCTCCGTCCCGGGAAAGAGCTTAGCCGGTTCCACGCCCCTTGGAAATTTTTGGTGTTAAAAATTGCAACCCTTAATTTTTATTATAAGGGTTAGTTTCTTAAAGAGTGAAAGTGTAAAATATTGTTGATTTTCTTAGTTCTGTCAGGTTTCATTGATTGTAATTTTTACAATCTTGTGATTGATTAGAAAAAGGGTGTGTGTAATGTGTGCTGAGAATCATCGATTCTTGCCTGGGAAAGCATAGTTTATGAAAGTAGAAAAATGTTTAATTTTATGAAAAAAGTTGCGGAAAAGGAAGACAAGGAGAAAAGGAAACGAGAGAAAAAAGAACGAAAGGATGTGAAAAAAAGGGATCGTGGTAGTATGTCCGCTGAAGAGCTTCTTCGTCTCGACGAGGTGAGTTTCAATTTTTTTTTTTCTTTAAAAAAAAAGTGCTTCCTTTATATAGAATTTTGAAAATTGAATAAAGTTCGCCGAGCGTTGATTTAATGCATTTAATGATATGAATATAATTAATGGATTCAGAGAAAAATTTGCTGCGTGTCAGTAACGTTTCTAGATTTATGTTCCTGAAGATCTAATTGAACATTTTTCTTTTCTGTAATTGTGTATTGACATTGAGATACTTGTTTCTAACAATTTATCTCTTATTGCAGTAAACTGTATACTTTTCACAAGATTGCAATATTTGTTCTTTACTTTCGCAATATTTGTTCTTTCATTTCGCAAAAAATATTTTACAATTTTGTAAAATAAATTTCTTTTCTCGCTATTTTTCTTTCTAATTAAACAGTAATTTATTTTGTAAAGTTTGTTCTTTACCAGTTTTGTCAGAATTTTCCCAAAAATCTTGACAATTTATTCTTTAAACATCACTGCACCTTTACTGTTAATTCTTTTACAAACGAACCAAATTGTTATGAATAAAGTTAAAATTTCCAAATTCGAATTTCTCTCCAAAAAAATGAGAAAAAAATTGAGAGTTTTGATGAATTTTTATTTTTGTCAGATCATTTTTCCAATCTTTGGACTTTGATTGTATTTTTATTGAAGTTTTATTTTTTTAGGTTAAATAATTAGACAAGTTTTCTCTCCTCACTTTTATTTATCGTAGTTTGATTGATATTGTTTTCAATTTCTTGAAAAATGAGTTCATTATTTTTCGAAAAAAAGAGAATGAAAGTAAATACGATTGATTCTCGTTGGGTTTCAACTCCCCTGTGACGAAAAGTGTTTCGTGCATGACCGATTACAAATTATCCTGCTTATATTGTTGTGATCTAAATTGCAAGCCAAGGGAAGTAAACCTCTCCTATTTTGTATTCTCACAACAATGAATTTCATTTGACGAATGGAAATATTTTAAAACATTGGATAATTTTTGTCAAAATAAATTGAAAAGAATTTTTTTTTTTTGGTAATTACGAAAATAATAACAATTTTTTTGTTCTTTTGTTTTACAGATGCGAAGGTCCTTGAAAATTCGCGGTCGTAGAAAGGAGAAGGAAAAATTGCCGAGTGGAATAACTGAGTGCGCTTCATTTTTTGCACAATTGGATAGAGATTTGTTGGATAGTTCACAAAATTCAGCTGGAACGAGCTGGTCCCGAATTCCCGATGGTCTAACACAAAGTGACTCCTCAGAGGCATCGCTTACATCACTAACGAATGCAGGTGGTAAACTTTTGCCTCCTTTACCACCCAAGCCACCTAAACGTGGAATATTAAAAGGACCTCGACTAAGTATCACGAGCGTTAGTATCCTAAGCGAGAGCAACATCGTGCCGAATGGCAATCAGGAGAATAATCATCAGGAGGCGAGCAACCTCTTAGTCAGAAACACCCTTCAAAATGAAGTAATCGCATATCAAAATATTCCCAGTCAACATCTTCTCGGGTTGAATAATGAAGGCTGCAGTGAAGAGGAATCTTCCTATCAAAGGCAACATCACCATCATCATCATCAGCATTATCATCATCTTCAACAGGACAGTAAACTTCTTCAAGTAAGTGAATATTTTTTTCTCCTTTTCTTAAATTGAAAAAGAGTTATTTTTTTAACTAAAATTGTAATAACTAAAAATAAAATATTTGTTAGTACTATTACAGGGTTGACACAGATTAGGGAATTCATGGAAAAGTCACAAAAAGTAAGGGATTTTTATTAAAAGTACTGAAAAAATTACACTTTTAGAATTTATAAGAAAAATCAGAATTTTTGTGTCTTTTTTTGTTTGCTTCATAAACTTATGAAATTACCATAAATTCTAATAAAAAATCTTCAATTTTTTTATTTCTGAAAATAATTTCTTTTTAAATAACTCAATTCATAAAAAAATATTATAAAATTATTACTTATAAATTATTTAATGAATAATTTTACTTTAAAAGTTCGAAAATAATTAAATTGTATGAGTTGCGTTTATAATTTTCATAAATAGATGAACTTCAAAAGGTTTTAATTTGAAATTTTAGAAAATTTCAATTTTGAAGGAGTTTAAATATCTAGAAATTTTAAAGAACTTAGATTTATGAAAAATTTTAATAACTCAAATTCTTCTGAAATTATTTCAAGTTTTTAATAAATATTTAATGGATTATTAAAAATAATAGATTTATAGAAGAATTTTAGATAAAAACACGAAAAAAAATTGAATTTTGAAGAAGTTACAAATGATTGCAGAAATTCAATACAATTATGTTCAAAAATGTAAAACAATTCTCGTAAAAATTTCAATTACATATGTTTATAAATAATAAAATTCTTCTCCGAAATTCAATTATTCTCAACAATTTTAATAAAATTCTTAGCTAAATTTCAATTATATTTAAGAATTCAATTTTTTTCATAAATAATAAAACTTATTCAAGAATTTCAATTATTTTTAATACAATTTATTTGAATTCCTCGAACAAATAGATTTGAAAATTCTCAATGAACTTTATCAAAAATTATTTAAAAAAAAATTGATTTAAAGAAGAATTTTAGTTAAAAATTCTAGAAAATAATCATTGAATTGAAATGATAAAAATAATTTTGTAGAAGTTGGAGTAACAATATTCTTATAATATATAATAATGATTTTATCACTCTGTCATCTTTAATTATTATAAGTTATTGAATTTCAAAAAGGTTTACTTTGAATTTGAATCTTTTGAAGAATCTTAAGTCCTATGAAAAAATAATAATGAAAAATATTTAATTAAAATTGAAGTTATTGATGTTTTCGAATATTTGTACAATTAAAGAATTCGAAAATAAATGTAATAGAAGATTTTCTTAAGTATCTAATCATTTTTAGAGTGAATCAGAATATTCTTTAATAGTCAGGGTAAAAGTCAAAATTTTTTCTGGAAATCAGGGAAAAGTTAGGGAAAAACAAAATTTAATTTTTGTGTCAACCCTGTATTAATAACTGAAAAAAATATTAAAAGAATAAACTGAATTTTAGTATAGTATAGTAATTTAGTTTAGTAAATTTACCAAATTTGATAAATTAAAAAAGGACTATTTTTGTAACTAAAACTAAAATGTTCATTAATATTATTAACAACTGAAAAAAGTTTAGTAAACTTACTAAATTTGGTAATTTATAGGAAAAGATATCAGAGAATAACGTGAATACTATATTTCTACTTTTATTTATACACAGGTCGTGACGAGTGCGAGCCCTTCCGCGGATTCATTGACAGACACAACCAACTCGAGTTTCGCCACTCCACCCTTTAGTTTGTCGCCAGTTGGAGAGTCTCAGGGATTCTCGAGGTGGAGGTCGTCGGCCTCCTTCGAGGAGCAGGGTATCGTTGAATTACCATTGCCCGAAATTGTACCACTCGAATTACCAGAACCAAGGGAACTGACAATTCAACGGCAACCACCGCCTAGAAATGATTTTGGATTTTCATTGCGTCGCGCTGTGATTGTTGAACGTGGTCCCAATGGTGTTACGCAAATGCGTTCAGTGACATTCGCGGAACCCGGTGCTTTAGTGCAAAATATCAATGACACTGGCTTATTGCCCGGAGATCGACTTATTGAGGTCAATGGAATCAGCGTCGATGATAAGCCACGGGAGGAGATCATCGATCTTATCAAGGGCTCCGGTGGCAGTGTCACAGTGAAGGTTAGTCAAATTATTCTTTTGTTTTAATTTTTAAAAATATTATCACAAAATTGCAAATATAATAATGGCAGCAGCAATAATTATAACAATAATAATAAAAATAATAATCTATATTAATAATCGTTCTATTCCGATTATTATTCTAATCTGTTCACAATTTGAAGTTAATAATAATAATAATAATAAAATTATCTTTCACTCGATTATAAAGACAGTGAGGTAAAAAAAATAATAATTATGGTATTAATTAATATTCTTTTTTTTTTAAATTTCCACTACTTTAAATTCGCTAATACTAGAAATAAAAAAACTATTCTCAAAAATTATAATCTCAAATTCTTTAAAATGATTCAATTATTTTCCAAAAATATTCGAAATCCAATTATTTTCAATATCTAGTAATTTAATAAAATTTCGCAGAAGAATTCAATTATTTAAAAGAAAATTGATAAAATTCATCCAAAATTCAATTATTTTCATAAATAATAAAATTTACACAGGAATTCAATTAATTTAGAATAGCATTTTCGAAAAAATCAATTATTTAACAAAATTTTTATACAATTCTTTGCAATAATTCAATTACTTTCACTAATAACAACATTTTTCATCGAAATTCAATTATTTAAAAAAAAATTTGATATAATTCAAAGCAAGAATTCAATTATTCTCATAAATAATGAAACTCATAGAAGAATGTAAATTATTTTTAATACTATTTTAAAGTAATTAATCGATCCAATTATTTTCACAAATAAAGTTTTCCACAAGATTCATTTATTTAAAACAAAATTTTTTCATAATATTTATTATATTTCGAAAAAATTAATTCTTTAAAACAATGTTTATAAAATTCTTATAAAGAATTCAATTATTTAAAAAAAAAAAATTTCACAGAAACTCAATTCTTTTTAAACATTTTAATAAAATTTTTCACAATAATTCAATTATTTTTATAAATAATAAAATTCTTCTCAGGAATTCAATTATTTTTGAAAATTTTAACAAAATTTTTATCAACTATTCAATTATTTTCATAAATAATAAAATTCATCGCAAGGTTTTCAATTATTTTTAATACAATTTTATAGGAATTGCTAAGAAAAATGTAATTAAAAATTTAATTTCAATTCCTCGAAAAATCAATTATTTAAAAAAATGTTTTTTTAAAATTCTTTGAAGAATTCAATTATTTACAAAAAATATTAGAATTTTTTACAGGAATTTAATTATTTTCAAATATTTTAATAAAATTGTTCGAAAGAAATTAATTATTTTCAATACAATTTTAATTAAATTTTTTTGAATTAATTCAATTATTCCTTTATAGATTTTAATAAAATTCGTCTTAAGAATTAAATTATTTAGATAAATAATTCTTCTTAAGAATTCAATTATTTACATAAATAATTCTTCGAAAGAATTCAATTATTAAAGATAAATAATACATATTTTTCAGAAATTCCAATATTTAAATTAAAATTTTGCATAAAATTAGTCAAGTTTAATTTCGATAGTTACTTTTTTTCTACTTTTTTTTAATATTTGAAAGCTACTTTTTTAAAATTAATTATCGAGTGCAAAGTCTGTTAATATTAATATTAATAATAATAAAACTTTAATTAAATTATCTTTTGCGCCTCAAGTAATAATAGTGAAACAGTAGAATTGAGAAATTTTGTGAAATTATCTAATCAAAGTCTTCTACAAAGTAAACTTTAAATATGATTGAGATAGGTCACTTAATTCCCATGTCTATTTGGCGTGTATTCAAGCAGGTTAAGTACTTTGAAAAACACGGAAACATCATAGATCAATTTCTAAATATAAACGATCCAAATAAATTAATTTTGCCCCTATTACAAAACAACAGTTTCTATTCTACGATGACAAAATAATTTCATTAAACAGAAATAAAAATAATTAACTGTCAAATTTTTTATTTGCATTTTCATACTTTTAAAGTTAAAAATAAAATAATTAAATTAAATAAACAAATAAAAATCCAATTATTCAATAAATAAAAAAAAATGTATTTAAAAATAAAAAAAATACATAATTCAAGCACAGCACGCTTTACCTCGTGTATATTTTACTGATAATTAGATTTGATAATAAACAATATATTAATGTTAATAAAAAAAAATTGAAAAATAATAATTATGCAAATTTAAAACATGAGATCTTGTCTATATATCCAGGACTTATTTTCTATTCTAAAGCACTTTTTAATGTCCAGCATTATTGTGGAATGTACAGCGAGCCAGTAATAAAGGTTGCATAATGAATCAGTCAGTGGTAATAACAAACAAGATAAAGCAAATTGCACGGAGTACATCGTCTCTAATGCGAGTGTAGAGCAAGAGCTCGATAAGTCAATGTCTTATCGAAGAAGGAAGTCGATGACTTTTCGTGTTTTATAGTCCGATTCTCCGTAAAGGAATCTTTTAACCGAAATAAAATCACAAAAAAAAGAAAATAAACAAGCGGGAGGAAAGAATCTCATATTCTCGTTCCAATTGCGCAAAGTAAAGAGTTCTAATTTTACAAAAATAACACACGAATCTAAACATTCGGAATGAAGAGAGCTCATCTCTTGGGGATAAATTCCTACTGTGCATGGATTATATTGTATCTACAGTAAATCGATTTTTGGGAAATATTAATTATTTTTGAATCGCGAGCCTATAAATGATTAATTAAAATTTGATAGAAGACTAATTCTTCTTTTTACAAAATTTTTTTCAATTACTTTCGAATTCGATATAAATTCTACGAGATTTCATTATTATTATTTATTGCTATTATGCTGAAAATTAAAAAATTTTGTATTTGTAAATATTAACTTTAATTTTTTTGATATTAAAAAAATAAATTTTGAAATTTAATTTAATTTTGATAACATTTTTTAATTTTTCAGATTCAAAATTTAAAAAATTATCTAATTAACTATTAGTTATTATAAATTAACTGCAATTTTAATTAAATTCTTCGAAGGAGTTAAATTATTTTCAATACATATAGTATAATTACAATTCTTCCAAGATATTCAATTATTTTGAAAAATTTTAATCAAATTCTTTTCCAGAATTCAATTATCTTCATAAATAATAATATTTATCGCAGAAATTCAATTATTTTTATAAATAATATAATTCTTCGTAGAAATACAATTATTTTGATAAATTTTAATGGAATTCTAGATAAAAATTCAATTATTTTCAACACAATTTTTATAAAATTCAAAAAGAATTCAATTAATTTTATAAATAATTAAATTTTTCGCAGAAACTCAATTATTTTTAAAAATTTAATAGAATTCTTCTCGAGATTTCAATTATTTCTAAAAATTTAATAGAATTTTTCTCAAGAATTCAATTATTTTTATGAATAATTAAATTCTCCGCAGAAATTTAATTATTTCTAAAAATTTAATAGAATTCTTCTCAAGAATTCAATTATTTTTATAAATAATTAAATTCTTCGCAGAAATTCAATTATTTCTAAAAATTCAATTGAATTCTTCTCAAGAATTCAATTATTTTTATAAATAATTCAATTCTTCGCAGCAATTCAATTATTTTTAAAAATTCAATAGAATTCTTCTCAAGAATTCAATTATTTTTATAAATAATTCAATTCTTCGCAGCAATTCAATTATTTTTAAAAATTGTAATATATAATTCTTCGAAAGAATTCAATTAATTTTAATACAATTTTTATGAAATTTATTGAAAGAATTTAATTATTTTGATAAATAATAAAATTCTTCTCTGGAATTACATTATTTTCAACACAATTATAATTAAATTCGTGGAAAGTAGTAAATTATTTTCATATAATTTTAATAAAATTGAATAATCAAATCTTTAATTATAATTATTAACAGACACGATTATTTTAAAAAGTTGAAAGACATTAAATTATTATTTAATTATTTCAAAAAAATGTTTTTAATTTTTTGAAAGAATTCAATTATGGTCAAAACTTTTGAATTCTTTGAAAGAATTAAATTATTTTCAATATTCTAATGAAATTTCTTGAAGAAATTTTATTTTAAAAAATTGTAATAAAATTCTGAAGAGAATTTAATTACTTTCCAAAAAATTTCCATAATATCCAATAATCAAATGTTGAATTTCAATGATTAACAAACACGATTATTTTAAAAACTTGAAAGAAATTCTTCATAAAATTCAAGTCATTTGAAAATTTTCAATTAAAATTATTTTTAAAAAAACTCCATTATTTTAAAAGAATTCAAAGAAATTCTTCATAAAGAATTTAATTGGGATGTTTAAACGTTTTAATAAAATTCTTCGCAAGATTTCAAGAATTTGAATTTGAATTTTCTTTTTGAAATGAAAAGATTTAAAAGAAAAATTATTTAAAAAGTTAGGAAACAAAAAGTAAACAAAAATAACTTCAAAGTGCGAACAGTTTACCGGAATGCAATGATTATTAATTTAGATTATTATTATTATTATTATTATTATTATTATTATTATTATTATAAAAAATATTGTTAGTTATTATAAGCAGATATTATTGTTATTATTGTTATTGTAAATAATTTCCATTGAATTTAGAATAAGAATATTATTTATTTTGAGAATCAGTTATGATATTAAAAATTGAGACTGCTTCCTGGATGTTTTAAATTTTGATTAGTTTGTGATTTTAGAAAGAACGATTATGTTGGGAAAATTTCGACTGACGTATATTTTGTTTCTCGCACATGTGTGTTGAAGTATAAATATCGCGAAAATGTATCTAAGATTTGTCGCGACTTACAAAAGTCATATCGTCGCGTCTGCTAGAAAATGTGGTTGGTGAAAGGCACTCGAGGTCTTGGAGAGGTCGATACAAGGAGGAGACCACAGGGAATAGGTCGAAAGTTGTTTCATAGATATCTTTAATTTCAGGGAGCCAGGTTCATTATTCATTTTGTTTAACATTTAGAAAATTCCAATTTGATGAAAACTCTTCTTCTTCGTCTT